GTTGACCAGGATGGTCTCGATCTCTTGACCTCGTGATCCACCCGCCTCGGCCTCCCAAAGTGCTGGGATTACAGGCTTGAGCCACCGCGCCCGGCCCCCACCCCCATTCTTACAAAATAATCAGGGGATCCTATGTCATAGCCATTGCTTGCCCATACAATACCTTGAATGAATAAGGGATTTTCCACCAAGCCCCACTTGGCCTCCTCAGCCAAGGGGGGCCCAATCTGCTTGATAACTCCTAGTCCTGGCCTATCCCTAATTAGATGCTAATATAAAGGTTGACAGATCTAGGCAGTGATAAAAACAGATTTGGCCAGGCTCTGTGGCTCACACCTAGCGTACTAGGGTCACACCTAGTAATCCCAGCACTTTGGGAGGTCAAGGCGGGTGGATCACTTTAGGTCAGGAGTTTCAGACCAGCCTGGCCAACATGGTGAAACACCGTCTCTACTAAAAATACACCTGTAGTCCCAGCTACGTGGAAGGCTGAGGTGGGAGAATCGCTTAAACCTGGGAGGCTGCAGTTAGCCAAGATAGCACCATTGAACTCCAGCCTGGGTGATAAGAGTGAAACCCTGTCTTTACAAAGATTCAATGCTTGAACCTGGGAGGCGGAGGAGGTTGCAGTGAGCTGAAATCGCACCACTGCACTCCAGCCTCGGCGACAGCGAGATTCCATCAAAAAAAAAAAAAAAAAAAAAAAAAAAAAAAAAAAAGATTCAAGAGATATCCAGGAGGTAAAATTGATGGGACTTGGCAACTGTAAGAAATGTAAGGAAAAGGGAAGAGTCAAAGCTGACGACCTAATGATAACAGCTTGGTTAAGGTATAGAGTGGAGCCGTTCAATAAAGAATAAGCAAGACTGAGTTGGGGATGCATGTAAGTTTAGGATGAACTGAACAGCAATGTGTGAAATCAAGGTGAAACTTAGACCTATAAGTCTAGGACACAGGAAAGAAATCTAGCATCACTGGAAAATTCTGGAGTAGCCAAAAATCATCTGAAGCATGTATAGTCAAAAGGCAGTTGCTTAGGAAAGAACCCTGGGAACACTGTCCAAGGAAGGGAGGGACAAAATGGGAAGAGAAACCTGCAAGAAGTTACTGAGACTGCCAATTTACCACTGGCCTCCTCAGCGAAGGGGGGCCCAAACTGCTTGACAACTCCTTGTTCTGGCCTATCCCTAATTAGATGCTAATATAAAGGTTGACAGATCTAGGTAGTGATAAAAACAGATTTGGCTGGGCTCTGTGGCTCACACCTAGCCTACTAGGGTCACACCTAGTAATCCCAGCTCATAGTCTCTGCTACAAGACCATGAGCTCCCAAAGCAGGGATCCTTTTTTATAGCTCTGCATTCTCACCTCCTAGCTCAGTGCTAAACCTTTGAATTTTCACTGAACTGAGGAGCTTCCTGAATCACCCTTGTACACCCAAACCTATAAAAAGTGTCTGTAAGCACTCCCTAATTTCTCACTAAGTTTGGTTAATTCTTACTTGACCGCCCCTTCTGCTCACTAATTAGGCTAAAATAATACCAAATAGTAAGCTTATTTTTAGAGAAAATCTATCAATCATCTAGATTTCCTTATTTAACTTTGATGCTGCTATTCTGACTAATCTCATAACTGCTAGTGAAAAACTTACTGTGTGTATGTAGATAATAGGAACAAAGAAGAAACCAAAATTGCAATGAAGATAAATTATGTGCATTTACAACCTGACCACCATCCAATCATACTTCTGATTAAGAAGACACATTTTAAGCTACATTATTTCAGATTTATCAGTGATTCTGAAAATTACAAGTGGCAGGGTACAGGACCTTAAGTCAATTCATCAGTCCATCCCTCACTAGCTGTTATGTCTTTGGGCAAATTATTTTCAGCCTCTCTCAGCCTAATGTGGTAATGAAGGAAACATTGCTCACATGGTGTCTAGCCCATAGCAAACACTTGGGAACGGTTAGCTATTATTTTCATCGTGGTACATTAAATTGCTTCCCCCAAAGAGCCATTTTATTATTATTATTGAGATGGAGTGTTGCTCTGCCACCCAGGCTGGAATGCAGTGGCTCGACCTCATCTCACTGCAGCCTCCACCTCCTGGGCCCAAGTGATTCTCATGCCTCAGTCCCTTGAGTTGCTGGATTACAGGCTCCCACCACCATGTCTGGCTAATTTTTGGATTTTTAGTAGAGATGGGTTTTGCCATGTTGGCCAGGCTGGTTTCGAACTCCTGGCCTCAAGTGATCTGCCCACCTCAGGCTTCCAAAGTGCTGGGATTACAGGTATAGGCCACCATGCCCAGCCCCTAAAGAGCCACTTTAAACCTTACTCTTACCATCTTAGGAGGGCAGTTTCACATTGCTTCTAACCTCCTCCTGGCCTCTCAATCTTGAGTTGTTTAATCTTATTTGCTTTATTTTCTTGGTTCCTCTAAGTTATCATCTCTGAATTAAAAAGAGCTTTAGAACAAAAAAAAAAAAGTAAAAAAAATTTTGAGAATTATTTTCAAATAAATGTCCATTGTATAGAATGGATCTGTGGCCAGCCGCTTCTACATCTACACCCAACATCTGGCTCCCTTCAGAGCTCTGAATGGACAGGATCAGGATTTGATTCAGGAGGATTAGGATGTGAAGAATCCATGTTTGAGGGACTCAGTTCTCCAACCGGCTCAAAGGGTCTCCAGTTTGCATAAGTCACCTCCTGGGCCAGCTGCTCCAGGGAAGGACGGCCTAATATCAGATTTCGAAGTGAGATACAAGTCATCAGGAAGCTGAAAAACAGAAAAAAGCCGAGCCAGTTCAAATTCCTGTTTCAACATTAGGATTTCAGCTAAAGCCCTTCTAAGGCACCTGATCCTCGCTCCTCCAACACAGGCATATATGAGCATCTCCCCACAAGTGACCCTCTATGTCCCAGTGGGAAGGGTACCCCACTTTTTTTTTTTTGAGATGGAGTTTCACTCTTATTGCCTGGGCTGGAGTGAAATGGCGCCAGCTTGGCTCACCGCAACCCCCGCCTCCTAAGTTCAAGCGATTCTCCTGCCTCTGCCTTCCAAGTAGCTGAGATTACAGGCATGCACCACCATGCCCAGCTAATTTTGTATTTTTAATAGAGATGAGGTTTCTCCATGTTGGTCAAGGTGGTCTTGAACGCCTGATCTCAAGTGATCTGCCCACCTCAGCATCCCAAAGTGCTGGGATTACAGGCATAAGACACTGTGCCCAGCCTGGTACCCCACTCTTTATACAGTCTGGTAGAAGATTCTAGGATAGGGTAGGAACAGCCCACAGACAGGCTGGAGATAAGCTGAGGCAGAACAAGAAAGCAGGCCATCAGACATAGGCCACTTATTCTTCCAGTAAATTAGGGAGAAGAATGGCAGGAAAAGGTATCTAGAGCTAAACCGTTGTTTCTTGTGTAAGAGTCTTTAGTGTTACCCTCTCCAGAGGAAAGCTACCAAGCTTGCCAACATACAATGGCAATGACAAATGTGGTGGTGAACTGACCTGCGGCGAAAGACATAGAGCTTTCGCAACAAGAAGCGGAAGAATCGCTCATGGAAAGGAGTATTTCGTCGGCGTTCAATCTCCTGGAGCCTTTGTTGGCGTCTAAGAAAGGTCTGAACCAGAGGTGTTGGCTCAGGGCCACCTTTTACTTCCCCTTCCAACAGAGGCTGCAGCTCTGGGGGTAGAGGCCGTGTTTCTGCCCGGAAGACAGAAAAAAGGAATCACTGAGATGGATCACTCTCTCCCCTTAGAACTCCCCTTCTGCCAGCTAGAGACTTCAAGTTCATTCTTGAATGGCTGGAACCTCATTCATAACCCTGACCTCTTGAAACCAGGGGCTATCTTAGCCAAATGTTCATATACTTACCACTTCCATTCTCCACCTTTTCCTTTAATTCTTGCAGATATGCTAGGTCTTGCTCCAGTGTAAGCTCTGTAGTGTTGACATAGACATACATGTAGCAAGAAGGACTAGGTGATGTCGTATATACCTTATGGTACTCACCAGCAGGCAACTGATGAGGGAGAAGAAATGGATAAATTTCACCAGCTTTTCTCTAGCCAGCCTGTGGCCTCCCTACTCTATGACTCTTGGCTTCTTTCTACTCAATTGTGTTTTGGAATTAGAAGTAACTAACCTCTAGAATCCTAGATGAGTTTATTCACAGTCCCAGGGGCCCTTGTTTTTTTGTTTTTGTTTTTGTTTTTTTTGAGCTCCACTGCATTACTGCTATGGTAAAATATTTTCAGTCTATAATAAATGCACCTTGCTCATCTAAGCTTTCTGCCATTGTTTTTTAAATTGTTAAAGATGGGGTCTCACTATGTTGCTCAGGCTGACTATAAATTCCTGGCTTCCTGCCTTAGCCTCCTAAGTAGCTGGTATTACTGGTGTGAGCCACCACACTCAGCTCTTTCTGCTGTTAATCCCAGCAAAATACCTGCATTTTTTCTCCCTCTTGAAGAGTCTGGTTCTTCTGTTCTGCCACCAGCTCCACAGTCACTTCCCCCTGCAACAGCTGGATGCTAGTGTTGCCCAGGTCTTCACTCACAAAATTCTCCAAGTGCAGTCCTGCCAGACCAACAGCGTTCATCATCCTACCCCACGGTAGAGTGAACTCACTCCCAGCCAAAACAGAGACAACACACCTTTACCACCATTACCCCCTTAGGTTTCAAAAGCATTCCCTTCTCCTCTCCCACCACACGGAATGTCCCTGGCCAAGGCAGTCAGAAGGAAAGACAGCAAAGCCTTTTCTCACTTTGCTCCATACCAGGGAAATCTGCAATGAAGACCACCTCAGTGTGGTTGTCCAGGCTGCTCTTGATTTCCTGTAACTTGGCCCTCCAAGGAGACAGGTCCATCAAGAGTGGTTGCACCCAGGATGTGCGCTGAAAGGGGGACCAAGCGGCCTGCACGATGTCCACACGAGGGTCAAAAATCCTTAGGAAAGAAAACCATGTTCTAAGGACACCACAGTCACCCACCCACCAGAACTTCCGGTTCTGTCCCTTTCATCATTATTCTGAAGGAGAGGGAATAGAGGAAAAAGAAATGGCTTGTGTTGCCATGTTATTGCCAGTCCAGGGCAGAGAGAGAAGACAGAAGAGATCTGGAGCACTGGGGATAATGGGGGTTAGTGGCTACCTGAGAAGGCATTGTGTTAACAGTGTCTAAAAAAAGTCAACTCACTTTTCTCCTGGATGATGGTGCCCCCTGCTGGAAGCAACCAGCTATGCCCACAACCAGATCAATGGGGACATGCACTAGAGGAAGGACAGCCTTTTAAGCAAGACAACACCAGGGAGCAAGGGCTGTTTATCTTGGTAAAAAGAATTGTGCTCCATTTTTTCCCACTCTCCGCTCCCCTTGCCCACCTCTGCTGGAAGCGGTCATTGATGGAGACCCAAATATCAAAGTAGATCTGGGGCTCAGTGACATTATACTTGGGAAGCAGGCGGCTCAGGCAAGTGGCATATTGCTTCAGCATGTCTGCGTGATCCTTCCATCGCCGGCTCTGTGTGAATACCTGCCCCAAACCCCCACATTAGTCCCACCTCATTATCATCAACTTCCAAGACAGGTCATGCGCTGCCAGTGGCACAATGAGATCCCTGCCTGCTGTCCATTCTGGCTAGGAAAACATAGAACTTGCCTTCGGGAATGAATTTTTCCTTGCTGGGCTAGTGGTGCTTACTTTTCCTAAATCTAATCTCAGTTCAAGAAAATGAATGACACTGTCCTAACTCAACCCACACAAAAGATAGTTCAATCTGGCTCTTGAGAAAAGGCAGAGCAAACTCAAATTTGTTTTGCTTTATGGTGTGTTTAAGACAAAACCAGACCCCAAAGCACAAGGGGGATCTGAAGAACACTAAATTGTCAGCATCAGACATCTCACCCCAGGGTTAAGGTAGCCCAGTTCACCGGTGCGGCCATCACGGTAGGTGATCTTCACATGCTGGTGGGAGCGGGAGTGCACCATCATGTCCCAGGAATAACCATACAGCCCATTAGTCCAGTTGTTATAGCCCTAGGAAAGCAGGGCAGAGGGGAATCAGCCCAACGCTTCTCACACTAACCCCAGAAGGGGCTGCAAAACCAGCCCCATTCTTTCCCAACTGCTGTCATCTGTTCCTTTCTAAGTCCAGCCTTTGCCATATACTCCACAGCCCTTACAAACCTGGGTGAGGAAATGAGAATAGGGCAGGAATAGCTGCTCTAGGAGGTACAGTAGGGTGAAGGCAGCTCCCAGCTGATGGCGCAGCCCTGGCTTCTGGCCACCTTTGGCCCGGCTCCTCTTATACACACAGGAAACACTGGGCTGAGGGGCTGCCTTGAGGGGCAGCAGTTCTTGCAACCTTTGGGGGCAGTAGGACACCAGCCTCCGAGGCCACTCAGGGGAGCAGAAGAGAGGGCTGCTGGCCAGCATGACATAGGAGAACATACCTAGGAACGCAGGGAGAAAATATGTATTTCAGAAGTCTGGTTGGACCTCTTCAACCCTGTTCCCTTAGGAGACTTCTCCCAGGTGTTCCACTGAAAGGAAAGTTTTTTGTTTGTTTTTTTTTTGAGATGGAATCTCGCTCTGTCGCCCAGGCTGGAGTGCAGTGATACAATCTCAGCTTGAGCCTCTACATCCTGGGTTCAAGTCATTCTCCAGCCTCAGTCTCCCAAGTAGCTGGGATTACAGGCATGCGCCACCACGTTGAGCTAATTTTGTATTTTTAGTAGAGACAGGTTTCACCATGTTGGCCAGGCTGGTCTCAAATTCCTGACCTCAGGTGATCCACCTGCCTCGGCCTCCCAAAGTGCTGGGATTACAGGTGTGAGCCACCATGCCTGGCCAGAAAGTAATAAGATATTTGTTCTTCCTGGAGATTCCTTACTATACAACATACTGAGCCCAGAAGCCCCAATCCTCTTATCCCCATTTATTCCTACTTCGTAGTGACTGCCCTGGGTTCAATTTAGCTCCTGCTCACACCACCCTCTCCCACTCCCAATTAATGGCTCTGGCTAGTCCCTTCCTGCAAAACTGTGGTTCCTGTTTCCTGCCAGGCTACAGGTACTGACCAATGCTGAAAAGCTGGGAATTCATGCAGTGGAAGTAGGACACAAAGAAGAGGCCAATGGATCTTGAGGCATCAAAAAAGAGCAGGAAACCAGCTGAGAGGTCAAGCAGCAGCCCGCCCCAGTGCACGACCAGCAGGCTAGTCAGCTCCTCGGACAACAATAGTCTGCAAACACATGGAGAAAGTTCAAGCACCAGCTCACTGGAGAACACAGCAGTCAAAGGACATTCATAGTATGAACGTGCCTTGGCTACTCCAGTGGCTGGGGAGAGGCCCAAGGTACATAATCCACCCATGAAGACACCCCTCTAGGTGTTTTTTTTTTTTTTGACACAAAGTTTTGCTCTATCACCCACCCTGGAAGGCAGTGGCATGATCATGGCTCACTGGAGCCTCAAACTTCTGGACTCAAGTAATCCTCCTGCCTCAGCCTCCCAAGTAGCTGAGACCACAGGAACATGCCACCAGGCCTAGCTGTTTTTTTTTTTTTTTTTTTTTGAGACGGAGTTTCACTCATCTTACCCAGGCTGGAGTGCAATGGCGCGATCTCGGCTCACCGCAACCTCCGCCTCCTGGGTTCAAGCAATTCTCCTGCCTCAGCCTCCTGAGTAGCTGGGATTACAGGCACGCACCACCATGCCCAGCTAATTTTTTGTACTTTTAGTAGAGACGGGGTTTCACCATGTTGACCAGGATGGTCTCGATCTCTTGACCTCGTGATCTACCCGCCTCGGCCTCCCAAAGTGCTGGGGGCCTAGCTGTTTTTTAAATTTTTTTTGTAGAGACAGAGTCTTATATTGCTCAGGCTGGTCTTGAACTCCTGGGCTCAACCAATCCTCCCACCCCAGCATCCCAAAGTGCCAGGATTACAGGCATGAGCCACCATGCCCAGCCCCCTCTACATTTTCACACACTTTAGGTGTTCAATGTTTTTCAACATATCCTATGTAATAAGCAAGGGCAGATCTCCTAGGACAAAATTTCACTGACATATGTGTGTGTTGTAGAAAGCAGGTTCCCCATGGAGGTCATGAGTGAGAGGAAACTTTAAAAGGTGAATGCTTGGCTAACATAATAATGAAGTCAAACTTCAGGAACTGGAAAATAACAGGGAAGAAGAAAGAATACAGTAAAACAAGAGTAAAGAAGAAATGGGAAGAAAACAGAAATCAGAGAGGCGACCCTTTGTTTTGTGGAAGCGGTTATAATGTTTTTTGTCAGAGCCTGAAGAGTCAGTGCCCATCTTCTCAGTATACCAGCTGCAGCGGTCTTACAGGAGGCTAGAGTGGCAAGGAAAGGACACGGGCACCACCGACGGGAGCTGCTGGGGGCACTGGCTCAGTCACCAAGTCAGCCAGTTCTAGCTCTTTCCTTACCTTTTTAAATTTGTTTTCCTTTCTTGCCCCTCTATACCATATATCTCCTAAGAGCAGCTAGGGCTCAATCTTTTGACACCACTGACTCTGCTTCTGCTGAATAGAGAGATGAGTGGACAAAGGAAGGCATGTGGCAAATTCAGGCAAAGTAGGAACAGCTGCCATTACTGAGAGAGATGAATCACCTGCTCTATACCCATGCCTCAAAGAGGCCTCCACCCTGACTGCCACTCACTTGAAGGGACTGAAGAGCCAGTGCCGGGACAAATATTCCATGGAATAGCCTTCAACCCAGTCTGCATCCAGCTTTTTCACACCCGCGATGAAGTACACAATGAAGATCTGAAAACAAAATGTAACACAAAGTTCAAGCAAAAAAAGAATTTTTTCTACAGATGGGCAAGAATAAAATAAGGAGCATATAGATAGGACCACTTGAATCCATGCTCCCAGCTTACAATCCTTGGCCCAAATAACCTACTTATATATACTTTTTTTTTTTTGGGACGGAGTTTCGCTCGTTACCCAGGCTGGAGTGCAATGGCGCGATCTCGGCTCACCGCAACCTCCGCCTCCCGGGTTCAGGCAATTCTCCTGCCTCAGCCTCCTGAGTAGCTGGGATTACAGGCACGTNCTGAGTCGCTGGGATTACAAGCACGCACCACCATGCCCAGCTAATTTTTTGTATTTTTAGTAGAGACGGGGTTTCACCATGTTGACCAGGATGGTATCGATCTCTTGACCTCGTGATCCACCCGCCTCGGCCTCCCAAAGTGCTGGGATTACAGGCTTGAGCCACCGCACCCAGCTATATGTTTTTTAATGAATAAAATAAATGTTCATCTGAGTCCAGGGCCCAAGGAAGAATAGACTCCATCTTCTATTCATTCATCTCAGGAATTCATTCATCCAGCCAGCATTTACTGAAATCCAACCAATGCCAAGCACGGTGTCAGGCACCAAGGAAGAAGTCATAAAGCACAGACTTAATCCTTTCTCTTTGTTATGAGGATTTCAATCTAGAAGGGACAAAGCTCTAGTCTTTCCATGACAAATGAGATAATTCACGGATTAAGGGATTGGAAAAAATGAGAAAGCCAGCCTAGCTTTCCAGCAAAGGGTAAAAAAAGAAGATCCAGGGAGGCAGCAGAGAGTGTAGTCTGGCAGTGGGATGACCATGCTGACCACAGTGGCTGTCAAGGAGCTCCTCCCTCTGTCCAAAAGTGCTGTACCTGGCCACGCAGCACTGCATAGTTCCAAAGGGGCACATGGGCATTCCTCCTACGGGCATTCAGCAGGCCATCCACAGACCTATACCAAGGGAGGTAAACATTGAGGGGGGCTGCTTAGTCCAGCTACATCTCCATCTTTCCTTTAATATACAATAATCTTATCTATCCTGGGCACATCTCCCATACCCTCCCTGGCTATTCTGAGACCTTTTAGAATTATATGAGCAAATTCTAATGTGATTATACAAGTCATAGAAGAAATATTGCTACTAAGTTATAACAGCAAAAAGTTCAGTATTTCCTGTTAGATCACAACTGAATTTGTTCTAATGGATCAAATCAGGAAAAAAGGACTAAATGCTAGAAAATTACTGAAAAAGGAAAGGAATTTGATGGAATGTTTGAAAAGCTATGTGTGTGTAAATAAATATGCAGTATATTATCTTTAAAAAAAAAATCAAAACACTCAACAGCAGAGTAACATACAACATAAACTGACGTTTCATAGATCTGAATGCCAGGATGCAGTGCAAGAGGGTCCCCTGCTAACAGCCTGTATTCTGGAAGAGAGCTGATAAACCTAGGCTACTAACACCAGATGTTCTCTGGGGAAGCAGAAGCAAAACAAGTTTTCAAGAAGTAGAAACTGGGAAAGGGGCAGCTTATACTGTGGTCAAGAGCACTGGACTCTACAGTCAAGAACACCTAGACTCACTTCTGGTTTTTTGGTTTTTTTGTTTGTTTGTTTGTTTGTTTTTTGTGTGTGTGTGTGTGTTTTTTTAAGAGAGTGTCAGCTTATACTGTGGTCAAGAGCACTGGACTCTACAGTCAAGAACACCTAGACTCACTTCTGGTTTTTTTTTTTTTTTTTTTTTTTTTTTTTTTTTTTTTTTTTTGTGTGTGTGTGTGTGTGTGTGTGTGTGTGTGTGTTTTTAAGACAGTGTCTCGCTTTGTCGCCCAGGCTGGAGTACAATGGCACGGTCTCGGCTCACTACAACCTCTGCCTCCTGGGTTCAAGTGATTCTCTTGCCTCAGCCTCCCAAGTAGCTGGGATTACAGATGCCGCCACCATGCCTGGCTAATTTTGTATTTTTAGTACAGATGGGGTAACACCATGTTGGCCAGGCTGGTCTTAAACTCCTGAGCTCAGGTGATCCACCCACCTTGGCCTCCCAAAGTGCTGGGATTACAGGTGTGAGCCACCGGGGCCCACTTCTGTTTCTTAACTGCTAGCTGACCGCAGGCAAATCCTTTACTTCTCTAAGACTTAGTTTCTTTATCTTTAAAATGTGAACAGGCCAGGCTCAGTGGATCACGCCTATAATCCCAACATTTTAGGAAGCTAAAGCAAGAGCCCAGGAGTTTGAGTTGGCAGTGAGCTATGACTACACCGCTGCACTATGGCCTCAGTGACAGAGCAAGACCCTGACTCTAAAAAACAAAACCCAAAAAACATAAAATGTGAACAGCACCATCAACCTTATAGGGTTTTAATGAGGAAAAATTCTAAATATTTAATATAGTGCCTGCCATGTGGAAACCCCTGAATAAACGACGTGATTTTTTCAAAATGCATAAAGTCATAAAAATGGAACCTTTGACTAGCCTAAGCAACGCAGTGAGATCCCGTCTCTACAAAAATTTTTTAAAAGTAGCTGAGTGTGGTGGCACTGTTGTTCCAGCTTCTCAGGAGGCTGAGAATGGAAGGATCCCTTGAACCCAAGAAGGTCAAGGCTGCAGTGAGCTATGATCACGCCACTGCACTCTAGCCTGGGTGACAGAGTAAGATGTCATTTCAAAAATATACCCCCAAAACGGAACTTTTCAAGGATATTCTGTCAAAACTGCCTCTTAATTCTCTGTGATCAGAGCTGGCCACTATGAATGAGTTTCAAGTTTTACCAAAGGGGTATTTTTATGTGAGTATTAACAGGCTAGGCACAGTGGCTCACGCCTATAATCACAGGACTTTGGGATAGGAGAGGACTGCTTGAGCCCAGAAGTTCAAGACCAGCCTGGGCAACAAGGCAAGACCCCATCTCTATTTAAAAATAAATAAATAAAAAGAAAAATAAAATCTAATAACTGTTAATGAATTTAATGTTTGAGATTTTTTCCCCCACATACTCATTTTATTGACACCCACCCAACATATAAAGAATCCTTAAGGTCACCTGCCCTGCCACATTGTTTTCAAATCCCTTCTCCACCTCCCCTGGGAGATGGTCACCTAAGCCAGAAATGGGGAAGGGTTACCTCCTCCTAGAAGAGCAATGGTGAGCAGCCCTGGTGGGCCCTCTTCTCCTGACATGATCTCTTCCTCACAGCAACTTCTACTTTTGGCTCTAGCTCTGCCCTTCTGGGCTCACACAGAGAAAGTCTACTCCTTCTTCCATATAACCATCCTTAAAGTATCAGAAAATAGCTATGTTTGGCTTTGGTATTCTCTTTTTCTCTCTAAGAGGATTACAAGAGGTGAATAAATCAAGGCACCTGGGGAGATATGGAAAGAATGAAGGGGTGGGATGGGGCCATTTTGCTTTTTGTCATCTTAAGTACTCCAACTAGTTGACCTTTTCCCCTCCCAAATCCACCCAGATCAAAGTGACCTTGTAACCACACTTTGCAAAGCGTGACTGAAAATATCCTTACTGAGACAAATTCTAAAACCTCACTGGGCCCCTATCTCTGGTAACCATCCTGACCCAGCCAACCCCTCCCCTTTGGTCCCCCAGACTCATACCAGTAGTGATTTGCATCCATGAATGTCAGCTGAAAGGCCAACAACCCATAAAGATAGGAGTGGTTGTTCCATGATGTCTTGTCCAGGAGAAACACATACCAGTATGGCAGCAGGAATAACACACAGCTTATCCGGTAGCAAAGGCCCAGCATCATGCCCAGTGCCCCTGGGATTTGTAGGGAGAGGATTAAGAAGTCAAGAGGTCACCACAGACCCAGTTTCCCTGGGGTAGAATACAGCTGACATTAAGAAAAATCAAACAGTGTATAATCAGGTAAAACTAAATGAAAATTAAATGTTATTTTAATATTTTAAAAAGAATTATGGGATCACAGCTCAGGTGACACACAGGTCAACAGCATCAAACTGATCACAGCAGAAGTGAAATAAGGCACCAAAGACTTTGACTATTCACCAGCATACTTCTATTTCTGCGTTTCTGGCAGGCCAGTCAATATTTCCATCTCTCCCACAATTCCCCTCACCCAGAAACATGATGGTGTAGACAAGATACATCCAGTCAAGGGGCAGTGGGTGTAGGGCATCCAGCAAGGGGAAGCGGCACACATCCAGCCCATCAAGGTATTTTCGGTCCAGGGAGCTGAGCCCCCGCTCCTGGGGAATGTCTAGCACCATCAAGAACCCTAAGAAGGCAATAGGGGAGGAGGTCATCTCAGATAAGGAAGCAGTAGAATACAGTGGAACACAGTTGAGAGTGTGCAGCTCCAGGGTCAGACTTCTAATCTTGGCTCTACCATTTATTCAGCATTAATTTCTGAGTGCCTACTCTGCATAGTGCTATGTCAGTTATGCCTTTTAGAACAGCCCCTGCAGCTCAGTTAACTAATTCCCCATTTGTGAGAGGGGACTATGTCACAGGATTACAGAGAGGATTAAATTAGAGAAATGTACAAAATGCTATAAAAACTGATAAGGTCTTGACAGCTGGAAAGATCCATCCTACTGAGCTTCAGAAAGTGCTCTGGGACTGCTTCTCAACCATTTTTGCTTCCTGGCACACCCAGAAAACAGTTGCATTTCATCAACATGCCAGGAATAAACAGAAGCGGCTACTCAGATCAGGAAGCAAGCTTGAGATAAGGCAGGGTTTCTCAACCTCAGGACTAGTCACATTTTGGGCTGGTTAATTATTTATTGAGAAGGATTAGCCAATGTACCATAGGACATTCAGGAGCATCCCTGACCTCTATACAGATGCCAGAAGCCACCTATTCTTCCTCCCCCAAGTTAGGACAACTAAAAATGTCTCCAAACATTGCTTCACATCCCCCAGGGAGCAAAACGGTCTCCAGTTGAGAACTACTGGGCTAAGGAGTCTAATATCTCTGCACATCTGTAAACCATTCCAAGCACACCATGCTGTGGCCTGAGTTAAGAAGCTCTTGATTAGGGAGTCACAGCCAAAATGTATGGTCCTTGTGACCCCTTGCTCTGTTTCTCTGAGTCCTCTGGGCAACTTCATGCCACAAGCGAAATGGGTCACTGCTGCCTTGCCTCTGCTTATCATATAGCCTCAGATCAAAGCATTTCTAGCCGGGCGCGATGGCTCACACCTGGAATCCTAGTACTTTGGGAGGTCAAGGCGGGTGGATCACATGAGGTCAGGAGTTCGAGACCAGCCTGGCCAAAGTGGTGAAACTAAAAAACTACTAAAAATAAAAAAAAAAAAAAAAAAAAAAAAAAAAAAAAAAAAAAAAAAAAAAAAAGCCAGGTGTGGTGGCAACGGCCTAGCCTGTAATTTCAGCTACTTGGGAGGCTGAGGCGGGAGAACTGCTTGAACCCAGGAGGTGGAGGTTGCAGCGAGGCGGGATCACGTCATTGCACTCCAGCTTGGGCAACAAGAGCGAAACTCTGTCTCAAAAAAAAGGAGTTCCGGCCACCAAGTAAATCCTAACGGAAGGAGACAAAGCATGTAACGTTTAATCCTAAACGTTACAAAGACCTCTTCTTTTATACAATATATTCAGCTCTGAGGAAAAGGGAGCTAAGTCTATTTGCAACCGAAAAATTGACGATTGTCATTCTCCCACCCCCAACCAAACTGCTCCCACCCATAAACTGGACTCACCAAAAAGAAAACGAAAGACAGCCAGGCTTGCAGGGTCCACTGGTCGATTCAGCAAGGTCACCAGCCTCCGCCAGCTGGACAAATCTGTCCACTCAAAACCCAAGAGTTTCCCCATTCGGCTGCCCTGCCTGGGCCCTGAGATCTGTTCAGCCTTGTCTTTCTGTACTTTATCTGCAACCAACAAATAGAGAATATGTGTGTGCGGGAGTGGGCTCCACCTCAAATCACAGAAATCACAGCACCAACAGCCCAGAGCTTCCGCCCACCTGGGTTGGCTCAATGATCTGACTACAGAGAAATTCCGGCAGTGCAGCCCCTCCTCCAAGATCCCCCAATGTCCCAGTACTCCTCAGACTACAGCCCCCTAACCGTTAAGTGCTCCCGAATGTCATCATCATCCAGAAGCCGCAGGCTGCAACCTGTCACAGCACGCCCCTTTCCCCATGGAGCCCCACCCCCGCAACCAGGACTCACTGGGCGTCCTCCACCCACCGCCCCTCTAAGACCAGCGCTCCTCGGTATTCTCTGCCGGACTGCGAGGCCCTAAGCCTACCTGAGCTGGGCGGGGTCCGCGCGGACCTGGCAGACACTGCCATCGCTCCGCGGAAGAGGCAAGTGGGTCACAGCAACAGCGTCTCTGCACAGCTGCCGCCAGGAGAATTCGCTTCCCTAGGCTCCGCCTCCCGACGCGTCAGCAGCTGTGCGGCCGGTCGGAAAACGCCAGCACTGTCGTAAATACTACGCCCGGACCAGCAGCGCCGGATTCCTTGCTTGGCGACAGGGGGCGGAACGGGGAGCCCTGGGGCGGGGCGATGATACCCCGTAGTGCCGTTGATTTCCAGGCGCACTCCTAGACTCCTCACCCCTCAGGCCTTCCGAGGCGCCTCTCCATTTTTTTTTTTCCTTTTTT